ATTTGAATCCCTCTAACACTCTTCTTGTATTTTCTTAATTTCCTCAATTCAAATTACTCTGCCCTTTTCATACACTGCCCTGACAGTTTTCAATACCCCTTCCCATTTCCAATTTACCCATCCTTCCCCACCCACCAACAATAATGGCAATTTCAAAATCACAATCCGACTCTGGGTTGGCCCCCTTTCTTCCCAATTGCAATTGGCCCCAATCCTTCCTCCCCTCCCACTCATTTTCCCCCATGGCAATTTTCAAATCACAATTGCCCATCCAAACTTCGAATTGACACCTCTCTAAATTTGCCCATTCTTCCTCCCACTCATTTTCCACCATGCACATTTTCCAAATCACAATGGCCATGCGCATTACGAATTGACCCCTCTCCAAACTTGCCCATTTTTGCCCCTTACTCATTTTCACCCATGGCATTCTTCAAATCAAACTTGTCTGTTTTCTTGAGTTATTTTGTCTATTTTTGTTTCTGCACTGTATCCTATTCAATATTTTTGGACATCTTTCATTCCTTAAATGCAACTTCTTTTTGTGTATTATTCAAAATTGTGTCTTATCGCTCGCATAGATTGGTATCTATTTTACAATTGACTGATGTTTGAAAAACAAATTTTCTCGTTATTGTATGATTGTAATCTATTTCTGTTTATGTTGCGATGAATTCTAGCTAATAAATTTTGCATCTGTGGTTTCTATTTTTAGTAATTATTTTAAAACTAAAAATTATTTTCTCTTGTACATGAACTAGCTACTGCGTAATTTTTAATTTAAAATTATTTTATTTTGGCTTTATTGAATTTTTTTGCCGTAATATAGAGTTTATTTGAAAACATTGACATATAAGCGTTGAAAGTCAATTCAATAATAAAATTCTTTATTAATGTTTTTAATGTTTTAATTGACTATATTAATTTTTAGCATAGTTTTATCAAGTTTAAAAAAGATTGTTTTTGAATCAGGTTGTATGAAAAAAACATATAAACATTGCGTGAACAGTATGTCATCAAGTTTACTGCTATTTAAATCTCCTAAAATATGAATCAAGTTTAACTTGAAATCTTCTACGTTTGGAACTTAATCTCCTCGAACGCTTCTTTTCGTATTTTGCCAAATTCCTCAATTCAAACCACACTGTCCTATTCATACACTGCCCTGACAGTTTTCAATGTCTCTTCCCATTTCCAATTTACCCATTATTCCCCATCATTCATAATGGTAAATTCCAAATCACAATCCACCTTCGGGTTGGCCCCCTTTCTTCCCAATAGCAATTGGCCCCAATCCTTCCTCCCCTCCCTCCCACTCAGTTTCCCCCATGGCAATTTCAAAATCACAATTGCCCATCCACATTTCGAGTTGACCCCTCTCTTCTCAATTTGCCCCAATCCTTCTCCCCACTCATTTTCCCCCATGCCAATTTCCAATTCACAATTGCTCCCAACCCTCTCCCAATTAATTTACCCCTTTTTTCCCCCCATCCCCACACGCCAAGACAATTTTTTAACCAAAGTTGCACTACCATCCTTTACCCGAAATCGACCATTCCATTCCCCCATACATACTCTCTCATCAAATGACAATTTACCAGATGCAATTCTTTGTTTGTTCCAGTTACTTTTTTTGAACCTTCTACTAGATCCTTCTCAATATGTCTATTTCTTTCAATAAAAAACCTTCTTTCTATACATTCTACGACTATATACTCTTTTTTTATAGGTTAGTTTTCACCTTCGATGTCATGAATTTTTAAAAAAAATAATCCTTGCGTTTATGGCGTGTCTGTAGTATAGCGTGTCAAGGCAGCTTTAAAATTTTACTTATTATCATTATTTTTATTGTCTATATTTTTAGTAAATATTGTCAAACTAAACTAAAAATTATTTATTTTTGTCAATTTAGTGGATAATGTACAAATATAGTCTTTTAAAATTAATTCTTTTTTTGCTTTGTTGAGTTTTATGTGTTTATATAATATTTACTTTGAACATTTAATTGTAACAGTTGAAAATTAAGTCAACGATTAAATTTTTTAATAATGTTTTCAATGTTTCAATTAACTATATTATATTGTTATTATATTTTCTTTAGAAATTTAATAAGAAGATTATTTTGGAGTAAAAATGTATTATGAAAACATGGAAACAGTATGTGAACAGCATGTAATTGAACTTTCTACTACTACTATCTCATAAAATATAACTAAAGTTCAAATTTCAATCTTTTTTGCTTTTCGAATTGGAATTTTTCAAACATCCTTTCTATACGGACTCTCCCAAGATTTTCAATTCACACTCAGTCCTCTTTGCACACTGTCCTCAATTTCAAATGCCCCCATTTCTAATTTACCCATTCTACCCTGCATCCATAATGGCAATTTTCAAATCAACCCAATCGCCTTTGGGTTGCCCCCTCTTCAATTTCCTCACACCCCTTTCCCCACTCATTTTCCCCCATCGCAATTTCCCCACTCTTTCCCATTTCCAATTACCCATTCTTCCCCAGCCCGCCACAATGGCAATTTTAAAATCACGATAACCTTTGGGGTTGGCCCAAATAGGCCCCCTTTCCCCACCCATTTTCCCCCATCACAATTTCCCCTCCCATCTCCAATAATGGACCCATTCTTCCCTCAGCCCACCCACAATGGCAATTTCAAATCACGATCACCTTGGGGTTGGCCCAAATTGGCCCCTTTCCCCACCCATTTTCCCCCATCGCAATTTCCCCACTCTCTCCCATTTCCAATTTACCCATTCTTACCCACCCCACACCCAGAATGGCAATTTTCAAATCAAAATTGCGCAGGCCCATTTTCAATCGGCCTCTTTCCAAAATTCCCCATCTTTCCCATTAGCAGAAAAAATCACTAAAAAGTGTGTATTGTATACTGGTGCTCAACATATTATGCAGAATCACACCCAATAACAAAATCAAAATTCTCGTCTAACAGAATAAAATAGCAATATAATCCAACATTTAGTTATCTGTAAAAAGAATGCACTCCAATGAGTTGTGGTCAACGACTTGTTATATAGTAAAAGCTATCTGCAACTATGAAAAGAGAATGTAAGGATTTTCTCTCATTATGATTCTTGCCAAACAAACTATAAACTAGGTTATCCTTTATGCGTTAAGATAAAAGACTACTAGTACTAGTTGGTATTTTGTTTGCCAAACCTACTTGAGTAAATTCTTCTAATAAATCCATATGATCATTGTGCATTTGCTACTAAAGAGAATATCGACGATATATAAATACTATATGAAACAAAGTCTAGGATATGAATAACTCCACTAACATATGGGATAGTTTTCGTGTTGCTAGTATAAAACAACTGGATGGAAAAAAAGACTTATGAAAAATGGACAGACAATATACGATAATTCAAACAACCCATGTCATTCTAGCAACACTATCCAAGCCATATTCAACTTGAGAATACACAATGAACTTACTACTATTTATGTCACTTGCCTTGTATAAGTCTTCTTCAATAGGTAAAACTTGTCCTTGATTCACAAACCAGCAACTTGTCTAAAGTGCATTCTTACATAGGCATGATGTAAAAGTCTGCAAGAGTGACATCGATTCTTCCAACTTCTTACCAATCTGAGTTTCCATACTACAAAACAAGTTATCAGTTCGTTTCTCAATCATCATAAAAAATACTCTTTCGTCTTTCTGTTTCCTGAAAAAAGAAAAGAGTAACGACTTAACAAATTGATAGCGTACTACAATTCTTTAGTCTTGTGTCTGGCAATCCATATAAACTGTACTTTTTTATATGAATTGTTCGCGCTTCTTGAAATAACTAGCTTTATACCATCAAAGTCATTTCGTTTGGTATCTGGAACAATCTCTTCCCAGTGCAAGTTGACCAGGTTTTGTTCGTTCGTTCGTAGAGCTGTTTCCATCTGACCTTGGTGTCGAAGAAAATTGATAAACTTGAGTGTACACACTTTGGGAAATGTTTTCTTTTTCTTCTCAGTATGGACTGTCAAGTCTACTGCTTTCTCCCTTTCTTTATACCTTGGTTTCCTTGGAAAGTTTCAAAGAGCTACAAAGTAAACCTTCCCTCGCTCCTTTTTGGTCACATAGTACTTGATTGCTTTAATATATATACATATATGTATATGTGTGTGTTTAGAGCGATATAATCTTGACACCTTTTTTGTTAAGTTTAAAAGAAACAAAAATTGAGTCAATGATGATAGGATGTATATCTAATAGCTTTGCAATTGTTGAAAACACACTGAATATTTTCGAATCAAACAAAAAGGTAGTCGGAACAACGAATTTCGGAGTCTCTATGAAAAAAAAAGACAATGAAATTTCATAAACAATTGGCAATGTTGGTCAACTAAGTAAAAGCCACTGAACAAAGAATTCGTGAAATGTATGGACCAGTCCATTCTCAAAAGAATAAGAATATGCGAGTAGTAAATAGAAAGCTTTATGAATAAATGGATGGGATGTAACTTTATGTAGTTTTCATTAATGAAAGGCCTACTGAAAGATACTTATTGGAATCCTTTTATCCAGAATGAGGTAAAGTAAGATCGTTGGCAACTTTAAACGAAACAATAATTATGGTGCTTCTTATCCTATTGCCAATTACCAAAAGACTGCTAGTCAGTCGAAAAAAAGCCCATATCAAATATACAACACCTCAAAATGACTACTGTTCGACAATCAAACCCTTTCCAAATTTTGTAAGGTTTCCTTATTTCTTTCACGGAAACAAAAAACCATTTTACCTTTTAGATTCCAAAGTTTAAACTACTTCGCAGTTGTACGAGACTGAAATTTACAACAGACACAAAGTTATGAAACACTATCAGAGGATCTCCTAGGACATGAAAAAGTATACGTTGACTTTGTCAAAGTTCATAAAATCGTTTCCTTTGTTAAGGCATACAAATAAGTACCTTCAAGTAGGTATTTCAAACAAATTCCAACAGGAAACAATTGTGCTCAAAATTGAATTTTCGAGACAAAACAGAGGTATCATTTATCGAAGGAAAATTTGCTAAAAAAAGAATGACACCTAGTGTTTCTCTGTTCATAAAGGTGTAGAACCATACATAAAATAGTGCGAAAATGGAAAAATAACACTTGAGCTTGCTTTGGAAAACTCCATACAATAAAACTAATCGTTCAATAAATGAAAGTTTTATCTATCACCATCTCATGGATCATTTCAACCGTCTCTCTCGATATCTTGTTACATTTGAAATAGCTTCCTTGAAGAAAAGTCTTGTAAAAAGTGGAACAAAGAGTGCGACACCAACTTTGACTCAAATGACGTTGTTCATATTCTTTTGTACCATTTTCCCATAAATATATAGTTTTATACTTTTTGTTTCACTCGCTTATTTTTCCACAGAGTTTCCTCGTCTTCTAAAACTCAAAACGCTTCATCTCCTTGTAAAAGTCAACTCATACTCCCAAGTTTCATTTCTTCCATAGTCTTGAGCCTACAATCCAACACTATCGTTTCTATATAGCCCTTTTTTCCAATCCATTTCATATTCGAGCAACAAAATTGAGCTTTGTAAATACAACATACGCTGGAGCAGGCCTGTATAATCTTCTCTCAACAAAGCAAACACAGACGCTCTTTTCTAGTTGCTTTTTCTTTTGAACTTTTAAAAAAGTTTCCTATAGACCTATGGTGGTGAGAACCTTCCAACGGTGATGTCTTCAAGCAATCCAACGTCTATTGATGTGGACATTACGTTAAACCAGATAGTAGTAAACAACAAATAAACCAAGAATATGCAGCAAATTTTTCCATTTATTGTTTGACAGAAACTCTTGGAGATACTTTTCAACAATTTCAATGGCACTCTCGCTTGTGTTTTCAAGTCTATGATGTCAGTAACTGTAAATCGATTGGAAGAAATGTTGAACAATTCCTGGAAATTTTTCTGGGTCTCACCTGTAATGTATCTACTTTATCTTCTTCGATTGACTCCAACATACATATTCGTTTAACGTGTATACCTCTTCATAAAACTCAAACAGCATTGCTACGACATGAAGAGGATCTTTTTTTTAACCATTCCTTGACTTTTAAAAGACAAAGTAGTACCTAATAGAACCTACATTCCAAGACTTGTGCTCTCAAACAAGATGCAACAGAGTCGCTCTAAAACTAGTCAATAGGTTCTTGGACAGATTGTTCAAAGCACGTCGAGACGCATTTATAAAAGTGTGTAAAGTCAAATGGTCGAAATAAATAAATGTGACGATACAGAATAAACAGATGGGCTTGGAGAAAGGGTCGTCGAGGAGGAGTCTTGTCATTTGAAAGAGTCGGTTTCTTGGTGATCCATCAATGTTTCTTGTACAACGTCCAACCTGGCTTGCGTCTCTTCTTGAAAAGCTGGGACAATAGCCAAAACATTAGGTTGGGTATATATACAATGAATAAAACTCCTTGATTACTGCTAGACCTTTGAGGACAATCTCTCCATTGTTATCCGTAATAAATGTACAAGTTAGTTTTGGCTTTACGCGGCATCTTTTTGCAACGTCTTGAATGTTGCTCTCTGTGTTTTCAAGAAACTGACTGAATCACAAAATATCTTTACAAAACAACTTGAGGTGTTTATCCATTTCTGTGGAGTGTTGATATTACCTTCAGAACCAAAAAAAGAAACCAAAAAAGAATTTCATCTATTCCCCAAAAAAAAGGACAGAAAGATTGATTGGTTTTACAATGAAACAATCAGTTCCCAAAAAAGGATAAAAAAAGCTGCAAGACTATGTTCAACCAGCTGTATTACGTTCAACAGACTCGACACAACCAATTGGTAACGAGTCTCCGATATGGATGACAACACTCTCTCAAACTATAGGAGAGAATGGGCAAGCAATGTCATCAAGGTTTTGGGTAAACATGGGAAAAGACTGTTTCCAACTTGATGATGGGTAAGAATCAACAAGGCAGGGAATTCTACAGTAATAGCAATCTAATGAGAAACCAATGCCAAATCTTGTTGCCTCATCCAAAAAGCAACCAACAAAGATTGACAAATTTGCAGAGAGTTGGTATGTAAAGACGTTATTGAAGCTTCTATTGTATTTGATCAAAGGATTTTTCATGAAATAGTTGCAAAGAAGAAAAGGCTTCATAAAGCGAATTGACTCTTTTTCGTTGCAAGTGATTTCTTGGATCTGGTACTTGAGAATAGCCAACCAACATCATGAATTGATATTTGAGTTTAGAAAAGGAGATATCAAGGAGTTAACGCTATGTAAAGGTGATTTCGTGGAGACTTGTTAAAAAGTCTCACAAATGTAGGGGTACAATACGCTTATTGTATGGATAATTTGAGGGAATAGTAAGGGAATAATGTCCCGATGTAGGGGCACTGTTTGGAGAGTGAAACATACTTTTATAAGTATCACCTGAAGACAATCTAGTAAAACCAAACCTATCTCCAAGGCTGTAGTTGCTGCACTTTTTCGTACAGACATTAACAAGCCCTTGTCGTTCGACTAGAACACAGTTCTTGGCTATGGACAAAACTGTACTCCAATCCTTCAAGTATGGTTATGCTTCAACAGGTAAACAAAAAGCTTTTCAAGGGTTCTTTTCTTGTGTTTCTTGGGTGCCTTTGTCTCAAGGTTCCGCAAAGACTTGAGCTTCGAAAAGAACAACTTTTCTTTGACTTTTACTACTTGTAGCTTTGTTCAATGTCTTGGTAAACCAAACGATGATATCATTCAACTGGCTACTCAACTCAATATCACTTGTGTTTTTCCAAACTAGTTACTCTCAAGGGTACTTGTCCATTTTTAAAGAGTCATTTCAATCAATATTGAGGTGGAACCTAAACATGTTACAGACTGTTTTTTTGCTGAATTGAAACGTATTTTTTTGTTATGGTTATTCAAAACAAGTATTTTTGAAAGAAAGGAAAAAAATAACCATTTTTTTGTCATTCTTCTCTTCTTTTGCATAGAATGTGTCTTTAAAGCATTGGCTCTTAATGTTTCGTTATCAGTGTGGAAATCAAAGTTAACTTTCTTGGAATGATCCTTTACTGTTTCAAATGGCTTTACTGATTTTTACACACACTGTCAATTTCAAATGCCCCATTTCCAATTTACCCATTCTTCCCCGCATCCATATCCATAATGGCAATTTCCAAATCAACACAATCGCCTTTGGGTTGGCCCCTCTTCATTTTCCTCACACCCCTTACCCCACCCATTTTCCCCCATCGCAATTTTCCGACTCTCTCCCATTTCCTCCAATTTACCCATTCTTTCCCAGCCCACCACACAATGGCAATTTCAAATCACGATCGCCTTGGGGTTGGCCCCAATTGTCCCCTTTCCCCACCCATTTCCCCCATCGCAATTTCCCCTCCCATCTCCAAATGGGCCCATTCTTTCCCACCCCACACCCATAATGGCAATTTTCAAATCAAAATTGCGCGGGCCCATTCCAAATCGGCCACTCTTTTCAAATTGCCCATCTTTCCCATTAGCAGAAAAAAGGCACTAAAAAGTGTGTATATTGGTGCTCAACATACTATGCAGTATCAGACCCAATGCAAACAACAAAATCTTCATTTTACAGTATACCAATATGATTCAACAGTGGGTCAATTCTACAAACAATGGATTCAAACGAGTTAAGGTCAACGATCTGTTTAGAATTTGAAAGTAATTTACAACTATGAGGAGAGAATTTGGGGATTTTCTCCCATTATGATTCTTGTCAAGCAATCTATCAACTAGATTGTCCTCTGTGTATTTAGATGAAAGAATACTAGTACTCGTTGGTATTTCGTCTGCCAACTCTACTTGGGTAAATTCTTCCAATAAATCCATACGATCGTGAAGCAATCGGTGGTAAATAGACTATCAAGGATATATAAATACTATATGAACTAAAGTCTAGGGTATAATGACTCTTCTTATGGCTCAGAGAGTTTTATAGTGCCACGATAAAATATCTTGATGAGCTAAAAACTCATAATAGACGAACAACCCAGTGTGGTTCAAACAACCCATTTCATTCTATTAGCACTGTCCATTCCAGTCCGTATTCAACTGGAGAATGGACAATGAAACTACTCCTATTTATATCACTTACCATAAATCTTTTTCTATGGTACAACTTGTCTTTGACTCGCAAAACAACAATCTGTCTAAAGTGAATTCTTAAATCACCTTTTTGAATAGAGTTGTTTTACTACTATTCCTCAAATACTGGAATCAGTCAATTTTACAAATCCAAGTGCGATTATTTGTCACTTGATAAGTAAATAGGCTAGTATGACACAAAACAATCAATCAATCAGTCATTGAATCAACACAAACCAAACTCAATTCTTCATCCATAAAGATAACAAAGAGTCTGCTGTGAAAGACACCTTGCCCTAGTAAAAGCTGTACCAGATGATCAACTTGAATTTGTAATAGCTTGACATAACAAAGATAAGAGACAACTTTTTCAACAAAAAAAGTAAACGGACATAACCATATGTCTCAGCATGACTTGAAGTACTAACAATCAAAGGTTAGGATCAAAGTACTTCTTCGTCAATCTTCTCAAGTTATTATGTGGATTCAAATCTTTCAAACAACATAATACCGAATGTTTGCGTTCTTCTACTTAAAATAGGAATGATCTCTAAAGTTGCCGAGCATACAGTTCCTTCCAATACAGTTGAATTGCCTCATATGCCTACGATTCTGTAGTTAACTGCGACATTATGCATGTCCCACTATCAAATCAATCTTTGATGCAACAGATTGGTGACAATTGGGTTCTATCAAAACTGTACAATTCATAGCCATAAAACTTGATAGTCTCAACGATACCAAGACTTTTATGAAACTAAGTTACAGGATGAGGTGTATGATAAACAGTGAAAAAAAAAAAGTTAAGAGCAAACTCGAATAGCATATAATAGGTACTCTTCAAATACAGTATTCATAACAAGAATATGAATTCATATGGACAAGGTCAAGTTGTTCTATTTGACACCAAGTTCAATACAAAAGTAGCCAGGATAGATTATAGTCCCTCTCTCTCTCTGCAACTTAAAATTGACCTTATCACTAGGCATAAACGATATGATAACTACCAATAATATTCTATTTATGACCGACTCATGTAATTCTATAGGTAAGGCTCCGTGAACAAGAGAATGAATTGTGCTTAAAGAAACAAAGCACTACTCTTTATTCGACGACATTGATCTGATTCTATCAAGCAAAGGACTTGGTCTATTCTCTTTCTTAATAGCTGATTGCCTATTTTGTACAATTCCTTGTTTCCACTCAATTCAGTTTAAACTCGATTCAACATAGCCGAAACCTAATCTTTTGAAATCAGTTGAATTCAAACTGATTCCTGGACACTAGCTCATATCACTATTGTCTCTAGTCTTGTCGATTAGATAGAAAAATATATCAGTTCCACAATTGAGGAATGTATTGAATTTACAATATAGGGAAGAGAGTGGTCGTAAAACACCAACCACAATTCTAAATAAATGAGGAACAACAGAAAAAATACTATGTTTACGACTCTTCGAGAACAATGCTGTAGTGAGAAGTGTTGTCCTATCTCTTCTAAGAGTTGCTGTTATTGTTGTCGTCAAATGTGCAAATCAAACAGTAAATTCTGCTTTTATAATCATTTCTAACAGTTCATACCAAGACCTCAATGATTTTTGCAATGAAATAAATACAAGCAACTTTTTTCCGGTCAAGTTGTTGATTGACATAAGATTGATTAGTTTGAATCTAAAACCATTCGTCGAGTATGATGAGGAGTGATATCCTTCTTCATGGAATAATAGTATCGAGATCAAGTTGAATCATAAACTTGATATTGTTCTTCCTATAAATGTTGTTGTATAAACTTTCCAAACTAGTAAAGAAAGTTACAGCTATATATAGCATAATATCTACAGAGATACAAATAACGATTCTGCAAGTACTATTGTATATCGTTGATGTTTCTGGTGAGAATCAAAGTCAAGACTTTTGGCTCATAATACTATCTCTGTAGTCTATTAAACTAGAAAGCCATTTCTTTCTTTTTTCACTTTATATCTTTCATCATACATTTTCTTCCAAAGCAAATTGGTGTATTTTTTTGATCAGCGAGTTGTATAAAAGTTGAAATGAAAGGAATCATTTCTTCATCTTGTACAAAAACATTTCAACATGACAAGAGACTCAATAGCTTGTATCAGCGAGGTTACTTTGCTTCTTTTGCAGCTCGTTTGTGACCAATCTTCTACAAACTAGTTGAATCTTGTTCTAAATCAAATGATTCTATAGTCTATGAATAGTATAGTTTATCGCTGTCATACTTTATTTCAATTAAAGTTCAGTTTTTAGTGTTCAGTAATTGCAACTTTCTTGAAAAGATAAGATAACAAGAAAATGACTACTCTCCGACCAGTCAATAGAAACAAACAATGGACTTTTAGCACAATATCTTTATCAAAAAGAATAATGATTCTATGACGCAAGTTGAGCTTGGTGCCAAGGCAGTAAAAGGAGAACGTGCTCCACTAATACTGATAGGAATCAGTGAATTCAAACAAAGTCTAATTGAATTCCGTACAGATACAAGGGTTGTAGAAGCTGATTGATTTATGCTCATCAATAGTAACATGTTCTCAATATTCCAGAAACACATTGTCATTCAATATGAAAGTCAATCCACACATGTACCTAAATTGAACTATGGTCGACCACCTTCCCAGTAGTGCACACAGCATACAAATATCAAGGGAAAATTGATGCTTTGCTGTAATTCGGATTCTCACCTAGTGATTCTCAAATGAATTGATCTTCGACTTGATTTTAAGTAATCCAAATAATAGTCTGTAAATCATCCTTTTAGAGTAAGGACTAGAATACTTTAGGCAAATCAAGATAATCTTCAACAATTCGACTTTGGATCAAGCATACAGGGTACCTAAAGACCACATAGAACACTGCTTCGAATATAAAGACTCTGTACATACAACAGCAAGATTTCAAGTGCAAAGGTACAAAGTCTTCATCAACCCGACAACTAGTAGTCAATAAAGTATCAATTCTACCTTAAAGAAGCCATCTTATACAAACACTATCTAACACAAACTCTATTGGATAACCCAATGTCCACATAATGACAATTCAACCAACTCTCTCGTAGATACACCTAAAAACATAACAACGTATATTAGTCTTAGTATCAAACAATTGATTTTGAATGGAAACGTTGATTCAACTTTTTGTGCATCGAGTTGTGCCGTTTATCTTGTCTAACACATTGACTCCATTCATTACTAAGGCTATATTTCAATAGCCAACTTTGAACGTTTCTAACAAGCAACGCATTAAAATTTGAATACTTGAAATAAACTGACATCTGATTCCTGATTCTTGTCTGCCAAATGACTATACCTTACTCAGTAATGCATGGTTGGAACGAAATGATATAACTGAAGGTACTTCAAAACAAGTAGTTATGAATTGAATCAAATACAGTTTGACATATTTATATCCGAACAAACAACTAGTCAATATCAAAATATATAAACCAGTAATAACAGATTCGTGGCACTGCAAAGATACATTACAATTCACCGCTTGAGTCGATTCGCGAAGCTATCTAAAATGAAACGATCAAGAAAAAGTATCCAGTATCGCAAATAAAGTGCAAGCAATGAGAAGAATAATTCGGCATTCTGCTACTACCAAGTTTTTCTCAAACCAAGTCTTCAGCTCCCTAGTCTTCTGTATCCTTAGTAATAACACTACTATTAATACTATATGGAAAATAGTTTTTCTCGCGATAAGGACTAACTCGTTCGATAAATTCAGTATAATCTCTAAGAATTCAAAAGTTGAATCAACCATAGAGGACATTTCACAAACTTATGAAACAGAATTTCATCTCCATGAGATATTCGACCAGTAATCAACAAATGACCAACTCCTACACAAAAAGTCATCTTAAATGAACAGTATCAAGAAATATCTTACTTTCTTTCCATTGAACAGTAAATCATTGAATTCAGTATACAATTCAAGTAATAGAAAACAGTAACCAGTTTCTAGATACGTTGAGAAGGAAGAAATCAAATAGACCTCTTCCTAAATATCGAATAGAATAATTGTGCCATATCCCATTGAGATTTAACTAGAAGTGATAAGATTCAGAGTACTCTAAAGCAAGTGACTATTACTTCCTTCAATACAGCTGTAACCAGAATAGTTTCGGATATCACACTAAAATAAGATTCAAACTCAACTCATCAATAGAAACAAGATATTCGTACGGCATAAATAAATTGTAATTTATCACTTGAATCAATTGTGATAATAGTCCAAAATTAAGAGGTGATGAAAACCACCAAAGGTCGCGAAGAGGTTCAAGCATCAAAGGATACAATAAAAGTCCTGAAATTAGAACAAGACTATCAATTTATGTTTTGCTGCTACTTGTGTAAAAATCACAGAATTGGTTCTGCTTTTTGTGAGAATCAACCTCAAAATCTATAAATCATATGTCTGATATTCTAACCTGTGAAACCAGGGAAGCATTCATTTACTTCTTTTCTTTGAATTTCTTTCAACTGACCTTTCTATATTCTTTCATTGACAAGTATATACTATGTAAAACATAAATTTTTGTCTTTTATGACAATTCATAAGAATAAGGGAAAACAACCAGTATTTCGTGCTAAGACAAGTTGAATTTCTATTCCCAGCAAATCGTTTATAGAGAACTTTGGCTGCAATCTTGTCGCTTCTTCTTTGAATTTACATCATCCTGCAGTCTTTGAATACTACTTTCTATCATCTTCATCCCTTTTCTTGTAAGAACATATTACAACTCTAAAAAACAAGATTTTCACCATTCTACAATAACACCGATAAAGAAGAGAAAAAAAGAAATAGAGATATTATCTTATCCTTATCAGCTAGATGACTACTCCATATGAAGCTGGTCTTAGGGTCGAACAAGTAAGATGGAATTGTTCTGAAGCATAAATAGTCAAAAGGTGTAGTTTCGACATAAGAACAATACAATGTATCAAGATAAATCAGAAGTAGATTCAAGATCACAGAAAACAGTATGTTGTACACTTTCATGATACTGCAAGTTCACTTGTCAAAGATTACTTGATTCAACTGACGAAATTGTCTTGATTTGATCACTTGGAGTTACCCATCCCTACAAATGCAACACAACTATCACGGGACAAAGAGATTCTTTGTGATCGGGATTTCCAATGAAAAATGCTTCTGAAAAGTTTTTACGTCGACGTTTTTGGAAAAGAAATGATCACTAGTTGCTTCATCATACTATCATGAGATAACAAATAAGTTCGTTTCAAGAATCAAAAGATAAAGATTAGTCTCAAACAGGTAAAAGAAAAATCGACAGTCGACCAGTAAAGTAACTCGATACCCTAATTATTGTTCAAAATCAGGACCGTCTGTAGTCCTTCTGATAGTAAGGTACAGGAATAGTCATAAGTGTGCAAATAATGCCCTTTTAATTTGTAAAGTCAACAATACAATTTTCCTTTATGGTAAAAAATAGGTCAAATTCGTACTTTTATGACAAAAACTATTATTAATATTCCATGTAATACTAACCAATACACTATAACTTTCTCTTGTTGTTGTTGTTGTTGCTGTCTTTTTACAATTCCAAGTAAATAAAACAATTGCAATTCTCCGTTCATGCCAACAACGAAGAAAACAGTAAAAGATAGAAACACAAGTCATTCTCTTTGTAGAATTGATGACTATGCCATACTGTACTAGGCTCGGGCTCATATTTGTTGTTGTTGCTGTTCTGGTTGAATTTCAAGTAGTGGCGAATGGTTTGATTTTACTGCGATAATAGAAAAATGTTTTAGGTTCGTGTCAATGTATTTGCAAACTACTTTGTTCGTCTGCGTATGCTTTCTAGGAATTATCTACCAAAAGTTGGACTTTATTTTCAGAGTCAAACCAAAAACTCTAGTAGGACACGATGATATCAATGTGTGCACTTGTGTAATATTGTAGAAGTTCAACCAATCCTTCGTGAGTTTCTTTCAGAGCTACTTTGTATACTATCCAAACGCAACCTGTTTGCACAAAATGTTGTGTCTCCTTTTCGCTTTTTGACAGCTACAACTACCACCACTTTCAACAGCATGACTTTCAGTGTGTTGGGAAAAAAACAGATCAGCAGCACTCTTGACACGCAAATACTGTTTCACACAAGTCGCCTTGTTTCCCATTCATACCGTACTACTAATGTTACCCTCCTTTCCAACTATATAAGGACCAAAGACGATTTGCAATAGATGCCTTTCAGAAACAACAGCAATACTAGTTCCAACTTTATCACTATTACTACTAAAATATCGTTTTAGACATATTTCACCCTCGTAAAACCAATAATTCATAAAAACAAAGGCGTCTTTCAAAAACGGACTAATAGCTACAGTCGCCATCGTCACAACTTTTTACCCGAGTGAACACAACCAAGATTTTCAGCAGTGCTCTTTTGCTTGCTTTATTTCATGGTTCCCGACAAGGTGAGTATATTTTGAACTAAAAACTTTTCCCTTGCTATAAAAAAGCAAGTCTATTCAGCTTTCGTTTTCAATAACTGTCAAACCTTATGGGTGTCGTTTTTCCGCAAATAATATTTCAAAAGACATATTTGAATCAATAGAATTGATCTAAAAGCACAACAATATAAACAATCATTAAAAATACCTTCCTACGTTATCCTGAGAAATGAATTTGTTTTACAAAAAGTGCAAATATCGTTTACACTCAAAAACCTGTTGCAAAGCTACAGACCGATTTCTCCATCGTAAAAAGAGTCATATAGAAGACAAAAAACTATCATACGGAAAGTAACGCTGTGTACTGAACAAAACACTCAACTGAGTGTCTGACTGGTTTCTTGTTCTTGCAAAATATCTTTGAAATATCAACCTACAAAGACTGTTTCTCAACAACAGACTACAAGATTAGACTATCAACTGCTAATAAATACGCAAAACTGCTCTGAAACAATTATCAATAAAAATAAAAAAACTTGTGAGACAACTAGTTGACTAAAGTACCAACACTCAACCACAGCTTAAACTCCTTTGTCTTTGCTCTCTTCTCGACAACGCTAATCTCAAATTTCCATACAAGACCAAAAGTGAAATAAAAACAAGTGTTGCATAAAGTATATAAACTCCAAAGAGATAATAAAAGCTGTAAATACTAAAAAGAAACTACAGTCTACACGGAACTCAGAGCTCAGGACTCGATGGATTGTTATAAAAGAAACACTTGCAGAGCTTAAAAAAAACGCAGATAATAGAAATTCACTTGTCCAACTAAAACAAACGAAGAATTCGCTTTAGAAATTAAAGTCGGAAAAGTTCCAATAGCAAACTTGAACCAGGTCCACAGCCTTGACAACACTCACTGAGCCTTCCCTTTCATCCAACAATCAAACCATTGTGTTCATTTCTAATTGGATTGTTATGAAAAGGATCGCTTTGTATTCTCTCCTTTCACTGGAAATATATTATTTTGAGTGACTAGTGAGTTTTATGAAAGAAAATATTCCACTTTGAGATATGTAAAAAGCTACTGGAACAATAAGTGTGCTAGATACAATCAATCTCACATCTCAGTACTATTGTGAAACGAGAAGAACAGTGTCGTATCAAAGATCCTTTCAACTCCCTAGCGACACTGTACCTTTTAACAGAGTTGAATTTGACAAAACTTATTTGTACGGTAAATTTCAGACTTTCTGTGACCCTATTTCGATAAAAAATCAAAAACGGGTTTTGCTATAACCAGTTTTTGACTCGTTCTCGATCTGAGAACCTTTCTTTGTTGGTCACTCAAAATTTAGGAAAACTCAAAGGTGCAAAATGGTCATTTTCCAATTTCAATAACATTAACTCTGTTTGGCTTGCATTGTGAGAGCTAGAACCTTTCCTTCTATGCAAATACGCTCAAGGAACAATCTTTGTTCGATTACGAGTTATAAAGAAGAATAAATCGTATATTCAACCGTAGAATTGGAAAGTATACAGAGGACAGGACGATAATAAAAAACTGACCAAAGGTTGGGAATACTTTTGTCTATACACAAATTCGTACATAAACTACTTACGATAAGGAGGATAGAGCCTCAAAAGTTACAAGGGCCACGCTTTGTTCTCTACACAAAGAACTTGTAGAGAGTTTTGACTGGTATAACAACAGTAAAAGTGGTGATGCTTTTGCTTCTCCTTGCACATATATTTCAAGATTCATCTTTCCTTTTTACTTTACCGAGAGGAGATGAAAGATTCTTATTTTTCCATTACTTCTCAATTTATATTCTTTTCTTTTCACTAGGAGACGAAATTGATCCAATATATTTAAAAGAACAAGACCTTTACCAGTTTGGATAATCACAATCACAATATCATTTGACATTTGACTCTGCAAAAGAATCAGATAACTTGTTTTATCTTATTCTGCTGAATATTGCTTGCGAGTTGACGATATTTTTATTCTTTGTAAAGCAACTTGGATAAAACAGCGTTTCTCTTCTTTTTCAAGTTTGACTTTCCCTAGTAGAAATGAACATTCCTTCTATTGATAGACACGTTTTTTATACGAAACGTTGGGTTGTCTTTGATTCTCGTTACCAATATCCAAAAGGAAGCCTCTACTAGTGTACCCATCAGGTTATACTTCGCAAGAGTCTTCTTACAAGTGCCTAACGCAAGGAACTTTTGTATAGTGACTCACTTATTCAATGAGCTGATGGTTGAGAATGGAAGAAGAATAGGACTCAACTGGACAAATCGTTCTTTGAATTTGCAGAGCTTTTAAAAGTTTTCCCTTTTTTTATATTGGAAGAAATAATAGCCCTCTTGGAGTTATATCGTTCCTAAAGCAGCTTTGTACTTTTTATAGTTTGCTTTCTTGTATATCTTTAAAAGTTGTGGTTTTTACAAAGTTTATCGTACAAAAGGATGCAACAAAAGAATTTAAACCTAAACAGTCATGTTTACCTTCAAAAACACCTCAAATGTATAGTCGACTATTGAGGAGAAAGAATTCAACTATGATTCAAACGTGAGAAACGAGAAAAGAATCGATAGAATAGACTCAATTCGACTGAATTCAATTTTTCTTGAAAAATATATTTTCTCCTCTTAACAGAATCCACAGTATCAAATGCCACTATTTTCAGAGGAGAAAGAAACAGGAGTTATTGACTCTTACAGAAATTGAGTATTGACGATACACTTGTGTGAGTCAATGTTGTTTCTGAGATTTGATAAAACCACGAGATATTTTGGATCCTTCTTAGCACATTTGTTTTGGTTTGTCTATTGCTATCATCAACTTTTGTAGCTTTAGTGATAAACTGCTACTTGTCATGATATCGTAAGAAAGGAATTTGATGATTGCTGAAAATAAAGCAGTGCTGTGCTTGCGGGTTTCTGCATTTCTACTAAATAATAATATTTCAACTGGAGCTTTTGAATAGACCACACAAGAGAATGACTTGGTTCATACACTAGTTCCGTGTTTCGAAATGAAGCAAAAGTGACGTAAAAACTATTCCATAAAATACAGAAAATCTAGAGAGAGACGTCTATGGAACAAATTCTTCATGAACAATCTATATTGCTCGGAACTCTCATGACTACTCTCGAAAATTCTGAAAGAAACTTTCTTATCTATGTGAGAATGGGCCATGTTCAATAGCTTTATACTCTCAAAGAGCATAAAAAACTTGTGAAATAAACATTGGCTTCCTTCCAATCCTTCTTGTACCCTATGAGAGTTACCATTATATTAGCATACGAGAATAAGAATATCGATAGTTGAAAAAGCCATATTGATCGTTCTTGCCATAGTTCTAGTCATCTCAGTCCAAGCCATAAAGGGTATGACATAGTCATCAGTTGATAAAGAGAAGAAGTTGGATTGGTATCCTTTACTGTTTTCCTTGTTGTTGTTGTGACCGACAAACAAACAGTCAATCGTAAATTCATTTATATTTGTACTCCGAAATAAACAGAAGATTGTTTAATTTCACTTTGGCGATGGCGAGTTTGGATGAAAAGTGGAAAGCTGTGGACAACTTTGAGTCTATTGTGGTAGATCGTGAAAGAGATGTTGTTCGAGTGACAAAAGAACTGTATGATCTTCATAGCAACAGAGAACAATTCAGGGGTGTAACAAGTAGTTGCAACTATCGCTTGACGATACCATTTGCCCCCCATCTCTTTGGCTCGGGCAAAACGACCTTTGCCCGAACCTCTTTGGAGTTGGTGCAAAGGTTTGGTGAAACTTCCCTGTCGACGTTTGCTTCAGACCCTTTGAGCAGAACCTTTTTGGAGAAGCTGAAAAGGGCTTCGTTGCTTTATGTGGATTTAAAGGAGTTGGAGCCAACTCGACCCATCGAGGAAAAACGAAACCTGAAGTGGGCAGTGTACTATTTGTTAATCAAGGCTGCTTGTTTGCAATCAGGTCTTCCGCAACCAGACCCGGACGAATGTTTCAAGGAACTGAAACTTAGGAGTGATGCTTTGGTTCAGAAAATCCGTTCAATCTTAAACATTCCTTCCGATCAATATCTCCTTGTGGCATTTGACGAAGTTGGTGTCCTAGACGAAAGTCTCGACGAATTTCATTTCAAGAGAACCCATGACGGTAGAGTTCGACCTTACAACGACTTTTTCGGTATCATTAGTCAATTGTGCAAAGAACCCGACTTGTTTTTTATAGTTGTTGGGAAAAACAAGGGTTTAAGTATTAAGAATGATGTAGCTTTTGGGCTATCGAGAGTTATACTACATTTTATCCCTTTATCACCTTTGGACGCTTCCAGTATCGTTGAATTCCTTGAAAGAAGTCTTCTAAAGACACCTACTCAACAACCGGTTTGTAATGTCTTATGTAGTTCTTCATTTTCAGTAAATGAATTGGCAGACTCATTATTGGAATGTACAGGTGGAGTTCCTGGTTTGTTGACGCGTGCAGTAAATATGCTTTTGAATTATATAAAAACAAGAAATAAGCCTTTCATATCGAAAGAAGAATGTTTGACATGTATGAACGACTACGATTTCCGAAGAATTTGCGCTGAACCATTTGTGGAACGAATATTGAATTTGGACGAAGATAGAAAAAGTGTTTTTGATATACTTTTAATGATGGCTCTTTATCGTATACCGTCTAAAGTAGATGATAGATTGACCTCGGAGTCCTATCTATATGATGCAGTCACTGAAATGGGACTATATCGATATCCTATTGACCAGAATACTTTCCAAATCCTAATTCCAAAAATATTTGTTGGAATCTTCAAGAACGACCCTTCCATATCTTCTTTGGAAAAGATACTTCTCGAATCACTCGATGTAGAACCAGTAGATTGTTTCGTCTATTCAAAGTGTCGTGTATTTGAAGGAATTGTCGCTTTACGACTAGTTTTGATGTTGTCTTCAAAGAATCGAAATGAGTTGAGAGAATTGTTGTGTCAATTGTCTCCGATATGGAAACAAATGAAACTTCCAATCAGTACAATATCACCTATTCACTATATCAAGTCTGTTGTTAGTTCTAGAGAAACAAAAAGTGAATCGAACAAGAGTCGACGAACTTTTGCCAATACTGAATGGAATAAGATTATTCGAGAGACACTTTATTTAGAGACTATTTACATTCCTTTGGACGCTACTTCTCATAGTCCTGATATTATATTCAAATTACAATCTCCTGTGGAACCCAAAGTTCTTACTGTTGGAGTTGCATGTAAAGGACGTTGGAAGTCGGAAGGAATTGGCTGGTCAGATATTATAGATGAAGCCAAGAAATTTTTAGATCCTGTTTATGATCAAGTCTTATCCAGTGCAATGGATTATCATCATTGTATGCTTATTATCGTTAGTACAAAGTTATCATTGAATGCTTCTAATGAGCTGGGTAATCAGAGTCGTTGTTACTCCAGTGGAATGTTTATTGGAGGTGATTTGTTCAAAGTACCTGATAATTGTGAACTTGTTATTCTTTGTGAAAGAGATGTCCAAATGCTGATTGACGAAGAAATATTGAATGGACTTGAAAGAGCATTTCATGTTTCTCATAATCCTACTTTTTGGGATTTTGGATTAGATTTACTTGATAGAATCCGTAACAGTTTCTTAAGTTGGCAATAAAGGCTGGATTCTCAACTCAATCGTTCCTTTTGTAGCGTTTTTTTTGAGAATCATGTGAACTTTTCGCTTGGTATCCTTTGGAATCCATACAATATCTCTTGGAAATACATTATCGGCCTTCTGACAAGGCTAGTTGGTACTTTATTGTTATTCCTAAGCCATTCTACACTACTATGTTACTCCATAATATGTTCTGAATATCACGAATACTAAATATGCTAAATTCTGTGTGCAATGACTTCTTGAGTCATTTCAGTC